ATGCAGTTGTTATAACAGACACCCAGCATGGACACTGTTATAACGAGAACGGTGACCGCAGCTACAGGTTGTGTGGAGTCCAGGAAGCCAAGGGCTACGATAGAAACTGCCGCGCCAACCAGACCTGAGGATACAGACAAGATGTTGTACTAGGCTATTGTTGGCTGTTGTTTTGTATATAATTGGCCTGTGTCCGCAATTAGATTAAACAAAATAGTAGAAACACAATTTTTGCTACTCTTTCAAGTCTTCTACCAAAATGAAGATGGGAAAAACAGACAATTTCCTATGTACCTTACCGTGGAACCCTCTTGATATACTAGCGCGACAAGTGACATGAAAGATTTCCTGGTCGCTCTTATGATTACTGAATCTTTCTTGTACATTTGAATAATTTATATTCTATATTGTATTATTATGCTCATCGATTTTTTTCAACACTTTCCACAAATACGCAGCTTTTTACTTATCCGTTGATTATTTTAAAAGAAAAAACCCCTAAACATTGTAAACGCAATTAGAACTAGCGCTGTGTATGATATTAATCAGGTATATCTTTATTCAGCATGACGAAATGTACAGATCTAATTTTTAAAATATTCTCTTTATTAATAATTGTTACTTTGAAAAATGCAAATTTCAACCAACCAATGACATTCCATATCTTCCGTAACACCACTGTTGAACAGACTCTCCTTTTCATCATAAAGTCAGAGCATGCACCAGAGACGTTCAACACGACGAAAAATCCAATGAAAGGCAGCGCTGATATTATTCCATTCTGTAAAGGGAAAACAAAAAATATCGAGTAAAACTTTGAAAAATGGTGAAATGGTATAGATTTAACGCCCCTATCAACAATAGTGGGTTATTAAAATTTATGAAGCCGCACCTCCGAGTTTAACGCCCATCTCCCAAAGGACCGGGCCAAGTGAAAAAGTCGTTTGTTTTGCCTTTCTCAAGAAAACAACGTCGGACCAAGCTACTCCTCGGACCCCCCGAACCCGCAATCTCACGATTACGAGTCTGGCAACCTAACCACTAGGCCACCGACATCACTGTATCTTTTTTCTAAGTTCAAAAGATACAAAACAAATGTGCCTGCAGCTTTTTTCTGGCCTAGGAGCTGAATTTGACCAAAATGTAATGTAAATTTTCTTACTCTAAACCAGAAATCAACACCTGTCTATGTCAAAATACAATTTTCTATGATCTGAAAATTGTCGGTCTAGGAATGACTATAATGTTATCCTCAATATTTCTTAAAACGTTTCGAATATTTAAAAAGAGCAGCTATCAGATTTACAGATGTTATTGTTGGTGCTCACTTGTTACAAAAATATAAGCACTCTAGTTAATTAACAAATTGAGTGCTAATACTTGAATTCCCAGGCCGTTTTATGATAACTCTGAACTTTTCTTGAATGTTTTATAAATAAAGATAGAAATTATTGCAATCTATCCTAAAACTATTCATTTT